CCGCAGCCTCAACCCGCTGGGCTCCAGCGATCCTTCCGCCTCAGCCTTCCGAGTAGCCGGAATTACAGGCATGCACTACCATGCCCGGCTGGTTTTTTTATTTATTGTAGAGATGAGGTCTCGCTGCCCAGGCAGGTCACGAACCCGCGGGCTCAGGCAATCCACTCGCCTCAGCCTCCCAAAGGCGCGGGATTACAGGCTGAGCCACCAAGCCTGGCTCAAAGTTAACTATTAAATACAATAGAAACAAATGAGTAATATTAAATTTTAACTAGATACTGTCACTTGTGGAGTGTTCCACACCTGAGACTCCAACAAGAGACTCCAGCTCTCTCTTGTTAAAATGAGAGATTAATAAGTGAGAGGGAGGTGTTAAAGATACAGTAGCATCTACCTGTGATGGTCCCTGAAAATAGAACAAGCTGGGCTCGGTGGCTCAGTCTGTAATCCCAGCACTTTGGGAGGCTGAGGTGAGTGGATTGCCTGAGCCTGCGGGTTCAAGACCCGCCTGGGCAACTTGGCGAGACCTCATCTCGACAATAAATTAAAAAATTAGCTGGGCAAGGTAGCGCGCGCCTGTAGTTCCAGCTACTTGGAAGGCTGAGGCGGAAGGATTGCCAGAGCCAAGCAGGTTGAGGCTGCGGTTGCCGGGAGCGGCCACTGCACTCCAGTCTGGACGACAGAGTGAGACTCCGACTCAAAAAAAAAAAAAGAAAAAGAAAAAGAAAGGAAAATAGTCAGAACAACTGATTGAAAATTGTCACTTACTTTAATATGGAGGTGCACATATTTAGATATGACCTAAAATCATCCCAAATTCCTGTCTCCGCAGATAAATACTGTAATGAAGCACGTGAAGAAGCTGCATCCACTCTAGGGAGGGGAAATGATAACTATAACTCCTCTCATCTTTAATGGCAGTTTTACAGTGTGCAATGTGCTTTGTTACTTAGCATCTCAGCTGACCACTGTAGCAGTAATCTGGTACCAAGAGGATTATCACACTCATCTGACTGGATGTTACAAGGACTAAAAGCACCGGAAGCTCAGTAGACACGTTTCCCAACGAATAGGTAGGAAGGGATAGTTCACAGGTGAGTCCACCGAGGGTTGGCGACTAACATAACCACATTAATAGCAATGTTTTTCTTTTTGTTTTGTTTAGGTTTTTTTTGGTTTTTTTTTTAGCACTTAATACGTCCCAGACCCTGTTAGAAACTTTATAGACATCATCTAACTTGATATCGACGCCTGATCTATGGGACAGGTACTGTTATCTCCATTTTACAGACGACAGAAGTGAAACACAGAGGTAACGGCTACGGTCACCCTGCCAGCGCGATGTGAGCCCAAGCAAACTGACATAAAGCCTGCAACTTCCTTGCCCAAGGTCACGGGGAGTAAGGTCGCCGGAGAAGGGAGGGCACTGACCTGTCAGACACTTGCTCCTGGGTGAGCTTCTTGTCGCTCTGCAGCAGAATGGACACGTAGTGGCGGATCATGCCCACGAAGAAAGTGATGATAACGATGGGTAGGACCACCCAGAGGCGGATGTTGGAGTCCAGCAGCAGCTCTGGCCCTGACATCTTCACTGATAGCAGGCTCCCAGCCGGGCTTCCCTTCACTGGGGCGCAGGTGTTACTCTTCGAGTTCGCCTCTGGGCCTTCTCGCGTCGCTCAGCCCGGCCGGTCCAGGACTTGGCTGCAGCCTCGAACTGGAGCCTCGCGCACAGCCTCCAGCTGGGCCACCCGGCCGCTCACTTCCGGCGCGGAAGTGTTACGTTACGCCGCGGCGCGCGTCGGTGGCGTCAGAACAGCGACGCGCCGGGCGGGAAAGTCGAAAACGAAGGGGCGGCGACAGCTTCTCGGCGGGTGAGTGAAGCGGCAGTCGTCGTCTCTCGTAACCCCGCGCGCCTGGCGGCCTAGTCTTTCTGGGCCCAGGCCGAGCACGGCCTTTACTTCTGGGGCTCCGCACCCCGAGCCTCGACTTTCTCATCTGCCTTATCGTGGGATAACCCTCCAGGTATCTCCTTGCGTTGTTAAAATAGCGAAACGAGAAGGGCTTTTAACCCCCACCCCCTTCTCTATGACCTTATAGTCCAGGCAGTCGACCTCATCTCACGTCTTTTAGGCTTCTCTGGAAGCCAGAAGGTATCTCACGTGTTAAAGACGGGTGGCCTGAAGGTAGACGGTCCTGTATTGCCTTACTTTTTCCATTTGAAAAATGGCTGTAATGGTTATACGTGTTAAACAAGGCGACAGATAAAGGAAAAGCTTACCACATTTGAGAAGCTGAGACGGGAGGATCGCTGGAGCCCAGGAGTTCAAGGCTTAAATGAGCTATGATCTCAGTACTGCACTCCAGCCTGGAAACAGAGTGAGATCCAATCTCTTAATTTTTAAAAAAAGTTTAGCACGGTGTCTGGTACATTGTAAACGTTAACTATCATTAGAAGACATTTATAGGCCAGGTGCTGTGGCTCACACCTGTAATGCCAGCAGTTTGGGAGGCCAAGGCAGGAGGATTGCTTGAGCCCAGAAGTTTGAGTCCAGCCTAAGCAACAGTGAGACCTCATCTCTACAAAAATTAAAAAAAAAAAAAAAAAAAAAAGTCTCGCGCGGTGGCTCGAGCCTGTAATCCCAGCTCTTTGAGAGGCCGAGGCGAGAGAATTACCTGAGTCCAGGGGTTCGAGACCAGACTGGGCAACTTGGTGAGACCTGATCTCTCCAATAAATCAAAAAATTGGGGCCAGGCGTGGTGGTGCGCGCCTGTAGTTCCAGCCACTTGGAAGGCTGAAGCAGAAGGATTGTCTGAGCCTGGCAAGTCGGGCTGCAGTGACTGTGAGCGTGCCACTGCACTCCAGCCTGAGTGACAGGGTGAGATTTTGACTAAAAAAAAAAAAAAGTAGCCACGTGTGGTAGGGCACACCTGTAGTCCCAGCTACTTGGGAGGCTGAGATAGGAGGAGGATTGCTTAAATCCAGGAGGTTGTGACTGCGTGAGCCAGGATTGTGCCACTGTACTCCAACCTAGGCAACATAGTGATACCCTGCCTCCAAAGTAAAAAGTGTCATTATTATTATATTCATAATGATTACATATGGTTATTATATTTATGGTATAATATGTAGTTATATTGTGTATATTAATGTAATTATTATTTCGAATTATCTGCCACAGATTATAAAAATAGTAACAGTACCTTCCTCCAAAAAGCTTTGTAAGAAATAATGAATTATTAAGTATAAAGCACTTAAAACTGATCTTGTGAGTTATTACTGTTTTACCTGCTCTTCTAGTAATTCTCACTTAGAGAATATTCTCAGAAATTTTATGCTGAGGACTGCGCTGGGCATTAGGGACACTGAGATGAGACTGGGTGCCTACTTTCAAAGAGCCTACAGTCAACTAAGTTGCAGCGGTTCACGCCTGTAATCCCAGCACTTTGAGAGGCGGAGGCTACAGGATTGCCTGAGCCCAGGGATTTGAGACCAACCTGGGCAACTTGGCCAGACCTCGTCTCTACAATAAATCAAAAAATTAGCTGTGTGTGGTGGCGCGCACCTGTGGTTCCGCTACTTGGAAGGCTAAGACTGAAGGATCACCTGAACCCAGCAGGTTGAAACTGTGATGGCCATGAGCATGCCACTGCACTGCAGCTTGGGCGACAGAGTGAGACTCCTACTCAACAAAAAGAGCCCACAGTCTAGTATGCAGTGCTTAGGGCTCCTAGATAAACTCTGTGGAGCTGGAAAGCTGGAGTAGCAAACTCAATTAGGCATAAGAGGAGCACTTTTTAACAAAGACGACTTTTGACTGAATCTTTAAGGATGAGTAGGAATTTCCAAGCATATAAGAGTGCTTCAAATGAGAACCTCTTTGTGAAAAAGCACTGAGACCGGGAAGGTTCTGGTTTACAAGTTAAATTAAAAGGCCATGTGTTTCAGGCCCTCCCCTTCCTCTCCAGTCTCATTTCTAATTCTACAAGCTCCTTTTTGTTTCAGTGTTGTTTTTCTCTGCCTGGACTACTCTTCTCATGCCTTTTGTACTGCTAACATCTATTTCAGCCCTTGAGTTTCTGCTGAAAAATCACTTTCTAGGAAGATTGTCCCTAAGAGATTGTTCCTGCTTTTCTTCACTACCTCCACTTCAACTAGACTAAATTTCCTTATAAGCCCTCATAACATCCTGTACTTTTATAGCTCTTACACAAATTAAAATTCTTTATTTCCATACTGTAAACTCCCAGAGGACAGGGACCATGTCTGTCTTGTTCGCAATTGCAACCCCAGCATCTAGCACAGTCCCTAATATATGGTATTGAAATAATGAGTTAAAGGACAAGAAGATTGAGGCTAGATGATGAAGGGTCTTGAATCTCAGATGGAGCACTATGGGTTTTATCATTCAACAACAGGGAAGTGGTCTGCCTAAAGGGGCAAGGAAACAAGTCTTGAAAGGAGAGGAGTATTGACCAGATATGGGAGTTGAAATTTGCATTGCACCTGGACTTAGATAGAATTACTATGAAGACTACAACCCTTCAGTTTCCTTTGAACTACAGCTTTAACTTCTCAGAATTTAGTTTTTTTTGAGTTGGAGTTTCACTCTGTCACCCAGACGAGTGTAGTGGCATGCTCCTGGCCACCGCAGCCTCGACCTGCTGGGCTCTGGTGATCCTTCCGCCTCAGCCTTCCAAGTAGCCGGAGCTACAGGCGCATGCTACCACGTTCGGCTAATTTTTTATTTATTGTAGAGACGTGGTCTCGTCAAGTTGCCCAGGCGGGTCTCAAACCCGTGGGCTCAGGCAGTCCACTCGCCTCGGCCTCCCAAAGTGCTGGGATTATAGGCTGAGCCACTGGGTCCAGCCAGAATTTAGTTTCTAGAGGGTAACTTCTATTCTCTGATTTTGCTCTAGGAAGTAAGTTCAGTACATAATAATTTGGTCAATATGGTTTCCAAACGAAGACTGTCAAAATCTGAGGATAATGAGAGCCTAAAAGAAGATGCCTCCAGTAAGTATCTAGTCATTTGTTGATGTATTTCCTGTAGCAAATATGAGGGGCACTTAAAGAGATGGAAAATTCCTACTTTTCAAGTGGTGAAAGTTCAAGGCTAAATGAATAGAACACACAGAGTCCAGTACAGGAGATTTGGGATTAAATTTCTGCCTTTAATCCCATGTATGACTTTGAGCATGCCCATAGCTTCTGAGCCTCAGTCTTCACATCTATAAGAGGAATTAGTATCATAGACTATATTTGTTGTACATAATCAAGGTGCTGGGACATATACTCCATACCCTTTAAAAAAACTTCACGATCCTCCTACCTCCCTTAAAAAAAAAGTCTACATAAATGCTATCATAGTGATATATAAAGGAAATACGCCATATCAAAGCAAGCACACCAGAGGCAAAGAAACAGTACAGACTCTGCCCATATGAGAATGTGGTTGACAAAGACCCTAAGTTTCAATTGGAGGGGATTGATAGTCTTTTTCATCTATCGCACTCTTCTGCTCTATTAAAGCACTTCTAACTTGTTGATTGAAGAGTTGTTTCTTATTAGATTATTGGAATTTAGGTCTGTTGGTCAAATACAACTGAAGTTGATGAAAACGCTTGCCAAACAGCATTTAGAATGATTAAAATTACAAGATAAAACCCTTGTTAAGAACAGGCTTGATTTAGAAAACGCAATTCTGAGGCTCTAACCGTCTGTTTGTAACATGATTGTAGAATATGGAGAAATTGGTAGAATTTTGAAACTGAAGAAGAATAATTAGAAAGTCACTAAAAATAAGCCGGGCTCGGTGGCTCAGCCTGAATTCCACACCTTGGAAGACTGAGGTGAGTGGATTGTCTGAGCCCGCAGGTTCGAGACCTGCCTGGGCAACTTGGTGAGACCTCATCTCTACAATAAATCAAAACATTAGCC